GTAGTTCTACATTTTAAGGTTGCGACCTTATATAAACTTTTTGTTTACTTAAATATTATAACAAAAATATATAGCTATATTAATTTAAATATTATATATTAAATATTATTTAAATATCAAAACTATTCGTATCGGGTCCGGAGCGACTCTACAAGGACCCGGACCAAGGCCCGAATAGTGTTCAAGTCCAAGATTTGGACCCAAACCTAACCAGTCAAGTCCAAGTTTTGGACTCATACCTAGACGTTAGTCAGGTCCCAAGCCGGTCCGGGTCCATTGCCGCAACAAATATTAATCGATCGTCTCCGTTGTTCATATCAATGGTTTAAAAAACAGATCGGTGACCCGGATCGGGCACCCAAAAAACAGATCCGGATCGGTAAATCGACGATTCGGATCAGGAATCGGGTGAATCGGTCAGAATAAAGCTTAAAAAAAATCCTAAAAAATTATTAAAATTCATTATAAATATTGTTTTTTAGGAATTCAATAAGAAATGAGGGTACTCCATTAAGAATTTTCATGTTTTTGAATTAATATGCGAATATTGATATGTTCTTTCCCTGCATGAACCGCCATTCAGCATTTAATTTACATCACATAAAAGGATAAACATAGAATTATCATAGAATAAGTATATCAACATACATGGACTACAATAAAGCATAAAATTAGTAACATATGATCTAAAAATAAAATGATAGACGACGTTATTGTTCTTCTTGGTCACGCTGGTGCCATTGATTGAATTCATTTAACAATTCATTGATTCGATCTAAAAATGAATCATCGATATTAGCAGGCGTCTGACTATTCCCAAATCCAAGAGTGTTAGTTTTTTGTTGTGTTCCCAATCTAAAATCCCCGAAGCTTGTCCATCCTTCATGCTCACCTGCACTGTCGTGCTCATCCCTACACTGTTGCTGTTGGGACTAGAGATGTGAATAATATGGCTGGGATAGGATGGCCTCAGAATCATCATCTTTCTCATTTTCTCTTTGAATAATATGGAATTAAAAAAAAAAAAACAAATTTTCAAAAAAATCGATCATGGATTAAAAAAAAAAATCACAAATTTTCAAAAAATTCTATCATGGATTACAAAAAAAATGCGATCATGGATTAAAAAAAAAAATCACAAATTTTCAAAAAATTCTGTCATGGATTACAAAAAAAATTCGATCATGGATTAAAAAAAAAAATCACAAATTTTCAAAAAATTCAATCATGGATTACAAAAAATTCGATCATGGACTACAAAAAATTCGATCATGGATTACAAAAAATTCGATTCGATCATGGATTACAAAAAAAATAAAATAAAAACACAAAAATTCCATCGTGGATTACAAAAAAGAAAAAACAATTCGATCATGGATTACAAAAAATTCAATCATGGATGACAAAAATTCTATCATGGGTTACAAAAAAAAAACAAAACAAAAATTCGATCATGGATTACAAGAAAAAAACAAACATTTCGATCATGGATTACAAAAATTCGATCATGGATTACAAAAATTCTATCATGGATTACAAAAATTCGATCATGGATTACATAAATTCGATCATGGATTACATAAATTCGATCATAGAATTAACAAAAAAAAACAAAAAGTTCGATCGTGGATTACAAAACAAGAAAAAACAATTCGATCATGGATTACAAAAATTCAATCATGGATTACAAAAAACTCTATCATGGGTTACAAAAAAACAAAAAACAAAAAATTCGATCATGGATTACAAAAAAACTACAAACATTTCGATCATGGATTACAAAAAAAAACAAACATTTCGATCGTGGATTACAAAACATTCGATCATGGATTACAAAAAATTCTATCATGAGTTACAAAAACAAAAAAAAAACAAAAAAGTCGATCATGGATTACAAAAAATTCTATCATGGGTTACAAACAAAAAAAAAACAAAAAATTCGATCATGGATTACAAAAAAAAAAAACAATTTGATCGTGGATTACAAAAAAATCGATCAAGTATTACAAAAAAATCTATCATGGATTACCAAAAAAAAAAAAAAAAAAAAAAAATTCCATACGGGACTCGCCGATTCCGTACAGTGAATCGGCGAGTCGCTGTGAAGAATCGTCCGGTTCTCTCTAGAACCGGATGATTCCTGTTTTTTTAGCCGATTCGATCCGTCCATGGCGATTCCCGAGTCGAACCGGGCGAGTCCGGTTCGACTCGGCGTTTTTTTAAACACTGGTTCATATGATTCCTCCTTCCGAAATCCATCATTAGCGATTGATAATTTGTACCATCGTGAAGAAAAATAATAATTTTAAAAACTAACAATAATAAATTTGGCATATTTTTTTAGATCATTGATTTAAACATTTCAATGGGAATAAAATGTTATAAACGGAACAAAAACAAACATTTCACTGGGACTGCCGCCCTCTTGACATGGATGGATGCAGGTTGCGTTAGGGACCACACGTGAAGTACGTCCCTTGACGCCGACTACACTTTTCCTTTACTAAAGCCATGCGCGGCTAAAGAAATGTGTGCCTGGGTAATAATATATTTGCATGATAATATCTTTTATGGGAATTTTTTTTTTTAATATTTTATGGGAGTTACTTTCGTCACCGTAATTTATCGTGACCAAATAAAAAATATTTTTTTTAAGATAATTGTGATTGGGAGTACTAATATAGGTCAGGTTTGTCCAAAATATTACATCCTTCAACTATTATTTCTTAAAAAATTTCACATCCTCATTAGGATGCTCGCTACTCCCAATTTTCTATTGAACCGTTTACTTTTCTTAAAAATTTTGAGTTTCCCTTAATCGTTATTAATATCCTAATGGATTATTCTATTGTATATAAAAGAAGAATATGCTTATTCACATATATTTCCCCACACCACCACCCCAACTCCAAAAAAAAATAGAAAAAAAAATTTGATATGCCTCATTCATCTGCCTTCAGGGTTTTCTCTGCCTTCTTATGCCAATCCACCCCTCCCAACGTCGGTGCATCAAAAAAAAAGGTAAAGACTGAATAATATTCTGAATATGAGTTGGCATATTCAACTATTTAAATGAGTTTTCTCTACAAAATTTATTTTAGAGATAGATTTTGGATACAAAATTGTAGTATAGGAATCTGGAAAAAAGAGAATAAATTTTTAAAATATTATTTCAACAATTTCGATTTTAGATTTTTGCGGGGCTACCATTTCCTAACATCTATCTTGGATATAGATGTTACATGCGTTTAAAGAACGCTATTACATAAGTGCATCCCCGGACATATCCTTAAATAAAAAAAATACATAGTTTCTATGAATCGACCCACTCATCTATTAAATGAGTCCTCTTTCCAAAATCTATTTAAGAAAAAAGAATTTGGAAATAAAAATCTCTGCCATATTATGTAGGAATATAGAAATCAATAAATAAATAAAAATAAAATAAAACAAGAAAATGAATTTTTTTATATTAATTTTAACGCAATCAATTTTAAAATTTCGTGGAATGACTATTTTTTCACCGACATCTACAAGATGGATGTTTAGTGCGTCAAGGGATTCTTAAGACTCGAATAGTTAGGGTGAATCGTTCAACCACAAATCCATGTCAGATCATTGGTTTGGTGATTTGGATCGGATTTGAATGGGTCTGAATCGTTAATAAGAAATATTTGAGAATTAATAAAATAAAATAAAATTAAAACTAGAGTTTATGGGGGTGGAGGTGTAGAAGGGACTCAGCAAAATATTATATAAGCTTGAAAAAAAATATACATAAAAAATATATATAGTGAGACTATTTACTTTTTTATATATTGAGACTACAATCATCATTGACCATTAGATTTTTGGTGGTTGAAGATATCTCATTATTTGAAAACAAAGTCCAAAATTAAATTTTTTGAATATTGTGATATATTTTAATCTATTAAATTTCATATCCAATAGCCAAAAGTGATTGTGACTTCTGTATACCAAAAATAAATGGTCTCATAGTATATAGTCCAATATACATAAAAAGAAAAGAAACTAGCTATTTAAAACAAGTTCGTCCCCAATAATTCCCATCAAAATCAGTTGTTCGCATCGAAAATCCCCGAGTTTTAAAAAGTTTTTTGAATTTGATAATATTTGCATACTATTGATTCCTGTCTTTTTTTTTTTTTAGGATAATTTTTGAGATAGATTAACGAGTCGGCATTTGTTGGTGGGGTAGAAAAACACAACGTGGAACTAGGCAGAGGGGGTTGCTACCACCACGACCAAGCTCCTTTCCTACTTAAAAGATCTTACTTAAAAGAGATGGTACAATTTGTACCATACAACTACTTATCCTTTTCATTTAACCAGGTTTACTCTCTTACTTTATTAGACCATTTCCACTTATGGGATTTCAAGTCTCCGTGACCTGCTGACAGCATACTCATTTTCATCAGCATAAAAAGCAAATGAAATAAATAATAAATGATATATTGAGTAATTAGACAACGATTTATAATCATATCAGATACTTACAACTTGAATTACGACATAATTAGATGGATATCAGAAGAGTAGAGTAGATAGTTTAGAAATAGAATGCTCCCGCGGGCGCATGATGTACGGACGCGCTCCGTAGAAATTAGAATTACAGATGAATATAGGCCGAAACCGGCGAATACCGGTTCCCGGTCTTCTGCCGATAAAACCTGGGCCTCCATTTCCGACTACTGCCAGCCTCGCTATGGCCCTTATTCTATATAAATACGTCCTCCCCGTGAGAGAGAGAGACTAATTCTATTTTGCTTAGCTGGTTTTGACATGCTTTGCTACTGAAATGGTAATCTCTCTCTTCCCTTCGCTATTTAGCTCATGGGTTGACATGATATGGTAGTTTCCTTTTCCATATAGTCTATCATCTCTCTCTTCTCTCTCTCTCTCTGCATTGAAATCTTAAAATATTTAACTGTGCTCGTGGTTTGGGCTCCTTCATAATGTATTTCGATTACAGAGTGGGTTTTTTGTCTCTTTGTTTGTCTTTTTGGTTTTTGTAGATGTTATGTAATGGCTTTAATGGGTTATTCAATACCCATTTGCAGAGGCTTGCACTGATGATTTGTTGCTTCATCTTTCTTTTAGTTGAACAATGTTCTTAGTTTTTTGGGTTTTTTTTTTTTCTAGGTTAGATATTCTCTAATCCTAGAAATTTTATTGGAAGGTTTCATATGTCGTCTTCAATGGATTAACAGGTGATCAATATTACCACTATTTTGGCATCCAAATTGGAAAGCGAGAATCCCAATGTTTTCCCCATTTTTCCTTCAAATTGTAGATTGTGACCTCCAAATTTGACGCAGAAACTTCTTTCTCTTTTTTGGTTGTTGATCTTGGTTCTTGATGGTTTTGAATTTCATCCGGTTTTTTGTTTTAGGGGGATTGAGTTATTGAATGTGCCTACCCCAAATAATTGGAATAAGGCTTGGATGATGATGATGATGAATGAGTTTTTGAATTGCATGCCAGATTTTTGTTGGGGAGCATTGTGTTCGAATTAATACATGACTGATTTTTGTCATACATGAATTAACAGGTTTGGAGTTCCAATTGTGTGAATAGTATTTCAAATAAAAGCGAGAACAATCTAAAAAGATGGATTCGTCGTCGAGTGAGCAGTAATTCATCTGATCCATGTGTTTCTTGCACTACGTTCAACATTCTCGCCCCAATTTACAAGCGACTTGACCCACTGGTAGGATTCTGATCCAATAATCTCATTGTTAATTATAGATTTTGTGTGAAATCCAGTAATTTTTACTGGTTTTCTCCCGACTAGGCACTATGCAGTTTTATCTTCTATATATGGTGGTGCTCTGTTTCTCTCTGAGTAAACACCATACCTGACCTTGTCCTCTATAGATGGTTGGCGGTAATTGCCCTCCTTTGTATCTCTCTCTCACCCAAACACATGAATCTCTCTTCTTACTCGTTTAATTTGTTTTATATTTTGAAACTTCTATTTGTATGTTGTAGAACCAGAGCTGCCGTGAGAGCGAGTTTAGAGAATATTGGCTTAGCCGAAACCAGAGTATTTTGGATCGGTTACTTGTCGAAAAATCCTCCATTATTTGTTTACAGGTTTGTTTCTTTAAGCTTTATCGTGTTCTTCATGATTAATGGAAGTATTTTCGTCAATAGAACTTAACAGATTAAAACAAAACAAAAAAATGGTGTTCTTCATGTGTCGTTCCTTTCATGATTGAGCTACTATTCTTGCTTTATATTCTAGGCTTAACTCTTTGATGGTACTCTTTTAGGAGTTTTGGGTTGGGAATGCAGAACTTGTCGAGATGTATGAGAAGAGATTAGATGAGGCTGGGTATGCCAATTACAAGCTTGCTCGAACAAATAATAGAGGAGATGGTGTGTTCTGAATTTGTTTTTTTTTTTTTGAAATTTTTGAAGGATTTCCTCGGCTTTTGACTGAACAAAGTATTCGTTTCTTGTTTTTCTGCTTATGGGAATACTCTGTGGATCAGGACTTCTCACTGCTGTTCACAAGGACTATTTTAGGGTTCTAAATTATCGCGATCTTCTGTTCAATGATTTTGGGGATCGAGTTGCTCAGTTGTTACATGTACAATCGGCTGTTCCCTATTCTCAGAGCCAAATCGGAAACCTCCAACAAGAGATTCTCATTGTTAATACCCACCTGCTCTTTCCTCATAATTCTTGCCTTTCCATTGCTCGACTCCACCAGGTACACCTCTCTCTCTCTCTAACCGGTATTCAATTCACAATTCTCCATGTGTAACATGGTTCTCTGAATATTTATAGGTGTAAATGGTCTCTCTCTGCACACACACACACACCTCATTGCATTCAATTCGCAATTGTGCTAATATGTAACATGCATCTCTCAAATTTTATAGGTATACAAGATTCTGAAGTATGTGGAGTCTTATCAGGGGGAACACATGCTAAATCCGCTTCCAGTTATCCTCTGTGGGTAAGGCCCTGATTTCCATTTTATGTGATCCTATTTTATTGTTTTGATTTCTATATGGACTGCTTTGATTTTTATATGGGGTTTCTTAATATGTTTGTATCCTGCTTCATTCCTGTAGGGACTGGAATGGAAGCAAGCGTGGCCATGTTTACAAGTTTCTTAGATCCCAAGGCTTTGTTTCATCATACGATACTGTTCATCGGTATACAGACAGTGATGCAGATGCCCATAAGGTTCTAGACTTCTCTGATATATTTTATAAAACCTTTCATGTCTTGTCTGTGTTGCCTTCTTTATGGCTCAAAACCTTCCTTTATTTCTTAGGGATTTATATGGTTTGAAACTTACAAAAAAACTTGGACGGTGAAAAGTTTTAGATAAATACAAGAAAAAAATGAAGAAAATGTAAATCGTTCTTTGTTTTTGTATCTTTTGTCTTGTAGTGGGTTAGCCATAGGAACCATCGAGGGAACATCTGTGGTGTAGATTTCATTTGGCTTCTCAATCCGAATAAGCATCGTAAACCTCTTAGAACAAGTTGGAAGGAAGCCGTTTTGGGAATAATTAAGGTAATGTAAATTCCAAGTGATTTTGGTTGTCTTTGTTAATAGTTGCTGTAAGAATATATATAGCGCCTTTCTCTCTCTCTATGCTTTTTGTTGTCTTTGTTAATAGTTGATGTTAGATTATACAGCTACTCTCTTTCTGTTTCTTTCTTTGCAGTTTCTCTGACACTACCCTTTCTTTCATTTTGATTTGGACATCAAATTAGAATAGTTTGCATCATAATTGTTCACTGAGCTTCAAGGTTCATATGTTATTTCAGAATCATCTTCGTACTGCTTTTGTAATGGACCAAGATGCCTTCCACTTCTTGAAAACTGAGGATTCCTTTGGAGATTATATTACTTTCACGAGTTTCTGTCTAGCTCTTCAGCAGGTATTTTCTACTGCAACTGCAAAAGAAGATTATATAGGCACCCCAAATCTGAACGATTAAATTATCCAAAAATATGTTAAAAGCAAAAGTATGGGGGTGTACTCATCCTGCTTTCTAAATTCCTGTTCAATGGTGCTATTGCAGCTGGGTCTAAGTGGCCATGACCATGGGCTAAGCCCCCTAGAGGTTCAGGACTTGTGGAATCAGTTGGAGACTGATCAAAATGGAGTTCTTGATTATAATGAATTTCAGGTAAATCTCTCTCTCTTTCACAATGTGGATTCCTCACTTCATGGCACAGGCATGACACACTTGACTAAATTCTTTCGAAGTTGTAGCAAATTCCTCTCTCTCTCAACGCACTTTTAAAAGTTGAATTGGTTCTTTGGACACTGATGATTAACTAGACTTGGAACTCCAATCATGATGCAGAGGATATGGGATCCCCAGAATTGGGGGCAAACAGAAGAGAGAGAAACAGAGAAAGGAGACTTCCAAGATGGAAGTGAAAGGGATGGGGAGGCTGTGGGCTTTGATGTAAAGGATGCGGTTCTCTTTCCACCTGAAGTCGAGAAGGGGATGTGGCCTGAGAATTACTCTCTCTCTGATCACGCTCGCCTCACTGTAGTCTTTTCACCAGTTAAAATGCTTTGCTCTCATGCAATCTGTTGATTGATTTTGAGAAACGAATTTCATAGGCAATTTTGGTGTGTTTTGTAAATGTATAACTGTAGAAAGGAAAGACTCATGCAATCTGTTGATTGATTTTGAGAAACGAATTTCATAGGCTATTTTGGTGTGTTTTGTAAATGTGTAACTGTAGAAAATATAGTGTTTATAATGAAGCAATTCTTTGGTTCAACACTTTCGGGATTCAGATATATGTGTGGAAATTTTTTGGGCAGATCCGGTTTTCGAATATGAGAATGAAACCTAGAACGGTAGCTAAGGCTTAGGTGGTGCTATCTCCACCATCTCAACCCCATTCCCCATTCCCGATATGAGTGGAAATTTGTCCTCTTATAGTTGCAAGAGTATCTACGTAGGAATTGAAAAAGCCACAAATTTACAGAGAGAGGAGAGAGCTCAAGGGGGTGAGAAAGCCCCTCCATAAATTTTCATTAATAGAAAAAAGAACATTAATTTGCAACCCTATAATAGCGCAGTTTAAATCCTACTTTTTCTACATAACACTACATTTCCAATCTTGGTTGAAATTTTTTTTTTCTTTCGTCTGAGTTACCAAACTTGCCATGATGTTTCTATAGGGCTTAGGCTTTATTAAAGCAAAATAAACCCTCACCTTAAATCCTCATCTGGAAAGCACTTTCAGTAACAGAAATATCCATGATTGGCTTAAAATCAATTTTTAACACCGACAAAGAAATTCAAAACTCGAAAATGGTGCAGACCTTGTTAATCTACGAATATTTATTTTTAGGGTGAAATGAATGATCTAGATAATTTGTTACAATATACACTATTTTTAGAGCTTGAAATCTTATTTTTTTTTTTATAATCACAATGTTCAAGCCAAGATGATTGATGTAAAAAATTTTTAATTCTTGAATTGCAATTTTCAATGAGTTAAGAGGTGAGGATTTACTTGTTTTGAAAGAGTTGTAGCCCTATTAAACCATTTTCTCTTTCTAAATCTTCATTCTTGAATTTAAATGATGGCTTTCCTTTGTAAACTTTTTGAAAGAATTAAATAAACTCTCTCATCATATTACTATTATCTAAGTCTCATTCTAATTATTTAGGGTCCGCTACTCGTACACTAAATTCATTGCTACGATAGGACTTAGTATTCAATCACGAGGTGCCGTGTGGATCTCTCTTATTAAGAAATGTATGAGAAGGATGAATTCCTTGGAGTCTTTTGAAAGAAATGGTTATGTAATAAATAGTGCATTGATTGATCCTTAATAAATTTATCCAAACCATATTCCATTCTAATTAGGCCTAAGCCTATGGCGGAGGTGGCAAAGTGGTCGGGACACGTGAACTCTTAGCCTCGCACATATGTTGGCGTTAGTTCAACAAGATTTATTTGGGAGGATTTTTTTCAATTTAAAATTTTGAAATTATCCAAGAATTACTAGATAACTACCATCAAAACAAAAAAAAATTGAAATTTAAGGTTTCTAATGCTTAGATTTACCCCTCTAAAAATTGGATGGTCTTTATCCAATATCGGGACATTATTTTTTCAAGTTAGTCGCAATTAGGATCTTTTTATTTTTTATTTTTTTTTGGGACCAATCAATGATTTGAAAATATTTCATCCCAAAAATTTGGCGTCGCCAAATTAATTCTATTTGAAGTTTTACTTGAAGGAGTAAATACACAATATACACCCAAATAAGTACAATTTCTTTTGGCTTCACGATAGTGGCTTGGAGTTGCAGTCCGTACTTTTTTACCGTCATAAAGAGGAAAATTTTTATATAAGGTTTAACCAATGTTATAGAAGAGAATGTTTCAGTCTTACATAACCCACCAATCGATTATCTCGAACTTAAAGATGGACATGAAAGAAAAAAAAAAAAGGAATTTTAAATTTAAAAAATAATACATCTTGTAACAAGTTATCTGGACCTATCTTCAAGATTTTCAAGTATTTATTGATCTGCTGGATGTGTACCATATTTGAAAATTTAAAATTTTATAACCAGGATGAAAGTGGATTTTTAAGCCATCGCAGCGTTTTTTACACCACAATGACATCTCTAAATAAGTTTTAGACATGCCCCTTATTTTTATAATATAAGAAGGCACTTTATACAAATGTAGACCTTAATAAAAAAAAACCAACTTAGCAACAAAATATTAGCTGCAAGTTGTTCCAACCCTATCTAAAAGCAACATAGCAACAAAATATTAGCTGCAAGTTCCAAACCTTTCTTTGGCAACTTGGTACAAAATGTTGGCTGCAAGTTCAAAACTTAGCATATAGTGACAGCCCTGAGTCAACACTATTGATAAGGTCGAAGGCCTGAATTTGGGGTGAAAGCTGCGTACAAGGCATCTCAAGGTGATCCCCAAATTTTCAGTTCATTACCTCATTTGATCCGCTTTTGAAGAAAACAAGGTTCAAAAGGAGTGCCAAAAGTGTAGTGGGCAGCGACACTATGGCCATTGGTGGGCACCGGGGTACTATGGCCATCGATGTTGTGATCACCGACACTATCGTCACCAGCACTATGGGCACCCACTGTGTGGCCTATTTGAAAGTTGGACTTCTATGGGCACCCACTGTGTGGCCTATTTGAAAGTTGGACTTATGGGATCTACCTCTGTGTATGTATTTTTTTGTTATTTCTTTTCTATTTATTTATTGTTATTTTTTTAATCCGGTTAGACCACTTACAAATAGTATAGTACAATAAATTGACTTGAAACAAATAAAAAAATAAAACTTGGATGTAAAATTTGATGCCACTAAAACCACTCTTTCATTAATCAATCAAAATCACAATACTAACCTTGGAAATAACAAAAGATAAAAATAATAAATATGGCAAGAAACAAGAAATATGATGCAAAAAATTACCTGAACCAGGTTTAATACACCCTACACTGAGTCACTATCTCCAATGGTATAAGATCAATAGTCAACCTCAATCTGTAAGATGGGAAAATATATGGGCTAAACCTCCAATGAAACAAGAACCCCTATCACAAGCCTTAAATCTCAAACTTAGCTCTTAAGCACCTAAATGAGAGAGATGTGCTTCTCAACACTAAACTCTTAACCCATAGGCCATGAGAGAGATAGAAGATAGGAGAGAGAGAAGATGAACACCAAGACTAGGCTAAATGGGGCGTGCCCCTTCACAAGAGGAGAGAGAGAGACTACTTGAAGCGTGCCCCCTATGAGATGAGAGAGACATCTATATGGGTTGTGCCCCTCTAAGAGAGATATGTGAGAGAAGAGAGAGATGCGTCTTCATATGGGTAGAGAGCAACTCCTTTTACAGTGTTTCAATGAAGCTAGGTTTTCATAGGGTTTCCATATGGTTGATCATCTTAGTGAGATTAAATTTGCACCATTGATATTGGGTGACTAGTGGGGTGAGAGATTTGAGCCGCCCATTCTATAGATTAGCCATCAAGATCTTATAGAAGATGTTAGAATCTTTATCCCCCATTCCTTAAACCAAATTCTCATCAATAAATTAATTATGAAAATAATCAATTACAATATTGTACATTCCAATTTCATGCACAAGTCTCTTATTTCCTCCTATATTTGATTTCAAAATCTCCATAAAATCAAATCTTTCTAAAACACAATTTCTTAAGCCTCAAGCCAACACAAATTAAAAAGTAGAAAGGGGTGGGGCGTGCCACCCTAAGTGGGCTCTCATGGGCCCTACCAACTTGCAATGGTAGTCTATGTATACTAATGGCCCCCCCATGCAATAATAAAATATTAAAAATGAAAATTTGATTTTTAGAAATTAGAAATAAAATATTAATTCTATTTGAATATTTTAAATAATGAAAATTCAATATCTCTGGTTTTACAAATTCAAATCATATTAATAAAATACTTAGAGATTCAGAAAAATTCAAACATCAATTCTAAAAATCAAATAACATAAAAAAATTATAATTAAATACTTTTGATGAGAATTGGACCCATATGGTCTAGGAATAAAAAAACATTGGTGCACTCTACCTTCTACTGTGGACCGTGGTTCACACTTACTTTCTCAAACTGACCTAGCGGTTCCCATAACCCTGGTCCATTGCAAGGCTCATGATTTGGCCATCAATGTCATCCAATAGACAAGAGGACATAATCTCAGTCTGTAGATTTCAGATTCCACCTAGAGACAAACCAATGTGTATGGTTAGGTGCCTCGATCTCGCCATTCGGATCTGGATGATCAGGCGGTACGCGTCTCGGGTTTCAGGGGAGACCCTGATCGTTTTAAGATCGCTCTCTTGAGAACCTCGTTCGAGAATAAGGGCAGGTATTACCAACCGATGAGAGAGAAATTTAAGGTCATGAGGTGGGACTTACCTCACATGGGTCCGTAACATGCTCGGGCTGGCTCGCGTGGGAGCCCTCTTAGATTATGTTGGAAAGCCCCCTACCCTATGACCGGTTTGGAATCACTTCCCTTGACCTGTTTCTTCTTTCTTTACCTAGGGGTATCGTCGCTTTTCTCCTCTCTCCACTCTCCCTCTCCAAGATACACCCAAGAACTTAAGCAAGAACGAAATTTTTTATTGAATGATGGAAAAATGAACCAAAAGTCCTTTACAATTAGGCTTGGCATGTTTATATAGAATTGGGTCCAAACATAGGTGGATACCAAAAAACTAGCCTCATTGAGGATAATTAAAATTGTTCTAAATTAAAGAAAATTAAGAAAATAAAATGACTATTTTGCCCTTGCCTAATAATTCATGGAATTCCAAAACAGTCCATGCTGCTGCCTTAGAACTTGTGTAATCTTTCATGCTGATTCGGGGTTGCTCTGATGCCCGTTTGATCGAAAGATGATCATTTTCTTGTAGGGCTTGACATGACTATTGATTTGAAACCAATTTCGAGCCATGGATCGTATTTTTCAGCCACGATCATGAAACTTTAAATTTGCTTGAATCTTGAAAATTTTGGATCAATGGTGTACTCATTCATTGATGTTTTTTAGTGATTTCTTCTCTGTAGTGCACTGAGCATGCCGTCACGGTCGTATGGCAACAAACAGAATGCGATTTGGAGCCCGAACGAAGATTTCACAATTTTGGGTTTTGGCCGAAATCTGAAAATCTAGCAGCCAAAATTTCAATCACTTCGTCAGCCTTGTGCATGAAATCTGACCGTCCATCATGTACGAGGGTTC